ACTAGATAAAGTCGAGTGAGAGGATTAGCAGAGATTAATAAATTTTAAAGAACGTGTAATAAAGCGGCCGTGACCTATTTGTAGGTACTATCCCAATATATGCCTGGAGAGTAAAACCACATAAACCTCAGTCAGGATACCCGGTATCTGGGGGGATATTTGAACCCGGGACCTCCCAAATGAAGCAAAATTCGTGGCTATTCATATTCACGTATGACAAATATAATTCGTAGAATGACTGCAGCTTCAACGCCTCCTGAGTTTTGATTTATGAAAAGTAAAATCGATGTTTGAGATCCCACAGGGACAGAAGACAAAGACTTTCATCGACTCATGTTCGCCGTTCGTAGCGAACGATTCGGCGAACCGTACACGGTTCAGAATAAGAGGCTGTTCGTTCAGTAATATCGTCGAAGCGTGCGCTCATGTCTTGTACGACGCTGAGACCGGAACAGGTCAGGAAACGGAAAATTTCCGTGATAGTTTGACGTTGTTGCCAGAGTTATAGATGTCACTGTATCGAGGTATACGATATTTTAATTGCACTTACATTAATATTCACCACAACGACATGTGCTTTAAGTAAATATACATAGTAATAACATCTATGATTCTTATGTGCGAATGTTACGGTCTTCATACGAAGCGATAAATCTTCAAGAGAATGGATGTCACTACAGTCCGCCAGGTTACATAAACACCTGTGACGTATGCGGCCTGGAAAGTCACGTGACACATTTACTTAACTCTCGCGGAAAGTCTTCAAAGCTAAGTTCCATTTGGGCTTGAAATAATAATAATAATAATCAGGAAAGTAGGGGTAAAGCTAGAGAAGAAACATTGGTATGAACACATCCCGAAGACAGTTGAGACAAGTCAGGATATCCAAAGAACTATTTTGTGGAACCAACAAGTCAAAACAGGCAGAACTATCCCAAATAACACCAGATATTATAATCCGAAACAAAAATGGAACTTGTCTCTTAATTGATATAGCAATAACAACTGACAGGAATTAAGAAGGACGCGGAGATGATCTTGAAATACAAGGACCTTCTCAATGAAATACAGAGAATGTGGAAAGTGAAAGCAAAAATAATTCCAATAATTATAGGAGCAACTGGAACTGTCTCCAAGTCACT